GGTTAATTAACTAACACTAAAGAGAAATTTTCATATATGAAATGCAGATTGATATTTAAAAATTTTATAGTGAATATTCATGTTGATAAATGAAATTACTTTTCACTCCATAAACGTCTTTACGGGGCAACATTAAATGTAATAGTGACTGTTCTGAAAAAAAAATCCTGTCATGATGCGCCAAATTATGAGAGTCCATACCAGCAGCTGCAAAGGTGTTAAAATTGGATAGTAAATCTGGTATCGAGATAAAATCTCCCCGATGTCTGCAATTTATTTAATTATACGGTGCAATAATAATAATAATAACAATTAAAAGGGGAAAAAACAAAACAAAATTTGGGACTTTGATCAATTGTGATAATTATTAATTCAAAATCCCGGTTTTCCCATTTCCTGGATAGACTTACAGGAGAAGCAGCACGGATTAGGTTCTTGCATACATTATATAAATCATTTTCATCATCTTCAGACTTTGGGACTTATCGTCCTTCGTAAAGTAAAAAAATGGTTCATATGATGCACGTGTGAACCCAATAAATTTCATAATACGTTTACCTTCGTTGAACTTTTTAGGGCTTTATCTCTATTATATATATTTCAAAGGAGTCATCAAATAAATGTTCAAATAATATTAACTGGTTTTTATGCTAAAGATCGAAAACATTTGTTTTTCTGAAGTGTTGTAAATATGTCAAAGAATTTTTTTACTGAATGTTTACCTTTGGGATGCGAAAAGTCCTCATTAGAATTTATGCAAACTTTGCATACACTTTCTCAATACCATTAATACGCTGAAATGTTCAATTATACAAGCCCAAATAACCTAATTGACAAAGTGGATTGTTTTCTGCCCGTCGTTTCGTGATAAGGTTTTTTTTAATCCAGTTAATGCTTTCCTTACAAAGACAACGATACAGTACACATCTCGCTAACAAAATATTTATGCATGTTAAGCCTGGCAATGATCTTGTCATCGTCGCTTTCTAGTAAAAATGATAATAATAATTATTATAATTTGGATTGTTATTGCACGTTTATAATATCAACTGTCCCTTCTGTGAACTTAAAGTCCATAATACGTTTCAAAGAGCTACCTCCTGGTACATGGTTTTTATGTATAGACCCAATGGTTACATTAATAAGAGCTACCTCCTGGTACATGATTTTTTTATGTATAGACCCAATGGTTACATTAATAAGAGCTACCTCCTGGTACATGGTTTTATCTATAGACCCAATGGTTACATTAATAAGAGCAAAAAAAAACCATGTACCAGGAGGTAGCTCTTATTAATGTAACCATTGGGTCTATACATAAAAACAAACAAACCATGTACCAGGAGGATGTATAGACCCAATGGTTACATTAATAAGAGCTACCTCCTGGTACATGTTTTGTTTTATGTATAGACCCAATGGTTACATTAATATGAGCTACCTCCTGGTACATGGTTTTATCTATAGACCCAATGGTTACATTAATAAGAGCAACCTCCTGGTACATGATTTTTTTATGTATAGACCCAATGGTTACATTAATATGAGCTACCTCCTGGTACATGGTTTTATCTATAGATCCAATGATTGTAATAAAGTTTGTCTTGCAGATTTCTAAAACTAATTTGACTTTAGAATTTTGTTCTTGTATTTAGTCCATTTTATGAAGTTTTGGTGAATTTTCTTTCAGCGATAAGATGTTTTGTATGTACCATTCGTTCGTAAAGACGGGCGAGGAGACATCTCAAAAGTATGATTGATGTTACTCTCCACGATCGCTTTCTTTGAAAAGAAAACAATTATTTGGTTAGTTATTATATATATCTGTAGTTTCTGCTCTTCCCTCCCCTGTGAAAAAATCCGCGAATTTCAATTTCACAATGAAATAAGAGTACATGGGTTTGATGAAATGAAAAACAATGACGGGCTTAAATAGCAACCGTCGTGGATATTTATAAAAACTCATTTGACATTAAAATGATATTATTAGATGTAACGAGTCTCATTTCTCAAACTTCTGACTTTTTATTCAGGAATAAGAATTTTACATTAACCTTCAGGTAACTCATTCCTTCGGAAAAAAAACGGGCGAAAAGGCTTATTTCATTGATAAATCCTTATGTTGTTCAGCCTGACGTGTTACTCTTCATTTTTGCTTTTTTTTATTTTAATTTCATTGATATTTTAATTGAAAAGAAAATTGATTGACTTGATATCATTTATCTATAGTATCTGCTGTCGCTCCTGAGAAAGTTCTGGGAATGTAAAGTCCTTAATATATTTTTTTTAAGAGCTACTTCCGCGTACATGGTTTTGATTGAATAGGTTACACGTGGGGCAATGACGGGCTACAATAAAGATTGTTTCGTGATCGCTGTGTAGTGTTATTTCTTTTTCGAACATGCGAGCATTAGGAGAGAATGTTGTTGAGACAAACACGCATGGTTTCGTCCATATGTGATGGAGTTTCGCACGTCCTCGTGCAGGAGGTTTATGTAAAAAAATGTTAACGTTTAAAGAAAATTCGCGAAATGTGAGAAGGGACTAAATACATCTAAAATAGTATTCTAATATCAAATTTGTTTTTAGACTCTTCAGCACTGCGTTAATCTTCTAGAATATACATTTTTCCCAGATACAAGTCTGTGAATTTAAAGTCTATAGCCTACTATTTTTAACGATCTCTTGTTTTTATCGAATACACTCAATTTTGTCCGAGTATGCATTTTTGATAAAAAAAAAAGTCTTAGTATATTAGTACATTATTATTATTTTTTTATATGTGTAATAGTAAAGTAGTTATGGTCACATTTATGCTTCCTGTGCTTAAAAGCAATACTTTATGGGTGTAAATTTATGTACGTTTTCCTCTATCAATTTCTTATGTGCTGTTGGTGCTTCCATGTCAGTATGGTCAGCCTGAGTGAACACTTGTATAACGCGCATGCAGTACTTCGCGCAATCTAATGACATACACACACACACATAACCTCCGGGATGGCCAAACTTGACCCATGGGCAGTTATCTACCCAAGTTGGCTGAAAATGCTTACAACACAAAGAGTCCGTAAAATTCAAGAAAAAGGCATTTAATTTGTGTAAACACACTATAAAAGCTACTTCCGATTATAACCCGACAATTAGTGCATTATTCTAACATGATATGTTCAGATTGATTATTACCCTTTCTTTAATATGGCGGACATCTTCTGGTTATCGCCATTTGATTTTTCAAATATTATTGACTCTTATTTTTCTACTTCGTATATCTTTAATACCTTTTGGTTTTCAAAATATGTAGTAACCCCCCCCCCCCACCACACACATATACACTGATGTTGGGTAAATTCAATACACTGATAAATAATGAGCACACATTTTCAATCACTCAGTTATGGATACACTGATAACGGTAATGTTTGTATCTAAACACTCACTAGTATAACGTTTTATGTACGTTGCTTAAATGAGAATCGTACAAATAAAGGTAATAATAGGGGTCATCAGAATATCTGACCATCACCTACGACACTCGCCTAACTAATTTGAATTTTGTAACCGTAATAAATAAAAAAAACTATATTAAACAAAGAACCAAACATGTAAAATCAAAGCCATCTTATTTATGATCTGAACACATTTAAACCCCGAGGAACCTAGATGTCGTAAGTAATGTTCAGTCATGCGATTTGTTTCGTAGTGCGATATATCTTTCCTATAGGCTATACAAAAAGTTACAATAGTTTTACTTAATCTACTTCAAACGATCTATCTTACAATAGCAAGAATTATGATGTGACATCTAGAACAAACAATACAATTTTACATTAAGCTTATGTTTATAGAAAGTTAACGCGAACGAGTTATCACAACACGTAACTTTTTCCTTTCAAAAGGACACGTCTATCTCTATCAATCTAACCTTTTATTTACATATATAGTGACAAGTTTTCTTGCCCATTTGCGAAGAAATACCTTGACACTGCACCTGTTAAAAGGAGCAAATAAAAGTAAATTATCTAATAAACATAAGGTAACCAGATTTGTAAACAGAAAAACAGGCATAGCCCAGGTCTTGCCCAAAAATTTTAAAAATGGTTATTACAAAATTCAAGTATTTTAACTTATTTAATTTATTTTGAATTTATTGAACTGTTCCACAATATTCTGAAATATATTGACATTGGCATCGTTTTGAAAATAATTTCAACTTATTTTTTTGTGTGATAGATACAAGACAAATGAACAAAAATATTCAACTTATACACCCAACAAAAAACGTATTTACTTTATCCAATTCATCTTAATTGGTTAGTTCATACCTGGATTTATTCAAGAATGCGTAACATTTTCAGCCATACCAGTCTTATCTTGAAACTTTTAATGCATTTTTGTTAAGAACGAATGGAACGTAAAGGTTGCTCTCCCACCCAATTTAAATAGTCATAAAATTTTGTACATGATTGCGTAAAGTGTATTTTGACGATAAGCACCGCCTTAACTGACTTCACATTCAGACCTGGGTTTCTCACAAAGCAGAGCTTCAGAGTTTAGAGTACGTGTTACAACAATGAGCAAGTCAAGTAGGCCTATAGGGTTGAAAAGTGTGACGACACAAAACCACGACATCACACGCGCTGGTTCTAAACAAATGTGGTTGTTTTGCGAATGGCTATCGCCAAATTCCTTTCCAGTGAAGAAGAACTGACCAAAAAGTGAGATAACTTGATAAAATTTCAACGATTTGAGAAACTTATATACAATGACAGTACTAGTTACATAAATTAAACAGTACATACGAGTACGGAAGACAAGACATACAAAATCAATATAAGCAAGACCAGATCAGTTTACCGCTTTGTAGGCCTATTTTGTTCAACATGGGTAGACATGATATTTTAAAAACTCACAATTTTTAAAAAACAGCGATTATTTCATACACAGTTCTAAAATGATATTGTCTTCTATCTCAAAATTTCAATAAAATACACATAACTTACCGCAAAGGATGAAAAGTAGTAAATAAAAACCGATGAGACTGGAAAACAATCTTATACACTCTACATGTTTCAACATATAACGCTGCGTCATCCTCGGGAGAGAAAACGTTTTGTAAAGGAAAGAAAAACACTCTTGTTTATATAATTATCAAATCACTAATTTACATATTAAAGAATTTCACGCCATCTACTGACAACATTTCCATCAGGTCCATGATCCTTATTCAATTATTTAAATTATTCGTTTTTTTTACATTCAATTTAATTGGTATATTCATACCAATTACATTTCCAGGTTGTACTAAAATAACAATTTTTTCCCATTGAATTGTGTGATTAGTTTCACTAACATGTTCTTTTAAAGGTGAAATAGTAATATTATTTCTTTGTTTTGAATTTCGCGCAAAGCTACACCAGGACTATCTGCGCTAGCCGTCCCTAATTTAACAGTGTAAGAAGGCAGC